TTTTTTTAGGAATGGAGAGTCAAAGTGTGAGTTCGAGTAATCTGGCTCTAAGCACCAATGTCAATGTTACTGATATGAAAGACGGAGATAATCAAACTCAAGAAAGCTCGAAAAACACAAATGTTTCACAAAAAAGCAACCCCAAAAAGAGGAAGGATAGGAGCATTGCTTGGAATCATTGTGAAAGGACCATTATTCAGGATGATGAAGGAAATGAGGAGATGTTTGCTATTTGCAAACATTGTGAATTACAAATGCCGGCCGATTCGAAAAGGAATGGAACGAGAGGCCTTCTCAATCATTTATATTATAGGTGTGAGAAATATCCTCTTCGTGTTGTGATGGACAAGAGCCAACCCACTTTAACTCAGTCGATGATGGGAGGTGAAGTAAAAATTTCCGACTTCAACCAAAAAAGACTCGACATGATGTGTGTGAAGTGGATTGTCAAAGCGGAGATGCCTTTTCGAACCGTTGAGCAACCGGACTTCAAAGAATTTATTCATGACCTTCAACCTCGTTATAAGATTCCTAATCGGAGGAAGATTGCGAAGGATGTTTGGAGTTTATTTTGCGAGGAGAAAGAAAAGATCAAAAGCATCATTGGTGATCTCCGTGTAAGTATCACTACCGATACTTGGACTTCTATCCAAAATATCAATTACATGGTGGTGACGGCTCATTTTATTGACTCGGATTTCAACTTACACAAGAGGGTGCTCAACTTTTGTAAAATTACTTCTCATAAGGGCGAAGACATAGGAAGGTGTCTCGAAGAGAAGTTGGTTGAATGGGGCATAAGTAAGGTGTTCACCATTACCGTAGATAATGCAAGTTCCAATGATGTGGCCGTTGAGTATTTGAAGAAGCAACTCCGAAAGCATGATAGTCTTATGCTTGATGAAAACTTGCATATGAGGTGTGCTTGTCACATTATTAACTTGATTGTAAAGGATGGGATGAAAGAGTTAGTAGATTCCATTGAAGCCATCCGAAATTGTGTGAAGTATATTCACTCTTCTAGTGCAAGGTTGGATAAGTTTCGAGAGTATGCGGTCTTAGAGAAGAAGGACAAAATGTCAACTATCCCGATGGATGTTGTGACTCGGTGGAATGCCACGTACATCATGCTTCATGGTGCTTACAAGTTTAAAGGTGTATTCGCAAGGTTGGTGGAAGAATTTACGCCATTTAAGTCATACTTTGAAGAGGGAAGAGTGGGGCCTCCAAGTGATGAAGATTGGGAAAAAGCAATGGGATTTGCACATTTCCTCAAGAAGTTCTATGATGCCACCGTGAAGCTTAGTGCCACTAAGACTCCGACCTCTCATCTTGTTCTAAAAATCTTGATAAACTTGAAGATTGAGATTGAGGCTAGAATTAGAGATAAGAAAAATATTGTGTTGCAAAATGTGGCTACTTCCATGAAGAGGAAGTTTGATAAATATTGGGGCTCTTTCGAAGATATGAACATATTAATGTTTGTAGCTCAAACCCTTGATCCAAGATATAAGTTTCAATTGATGGAGTTGCAATTAGGGGAGCTTGGCTACTCTCTTAATGAAGTTGAGCACCTCAAGAGTCGGGTGAAAGCACATTTGTATCTTATGTATGAAACTTATAAGGGATCGGAAAAGCCACATGTGAATGTGCATGAGGATGGGGATGATGGTGTTGATCTTGGTGATGATGATGATATTGATGATGATGATGTGGAATTGAGGATAGAGCGGAGACTTAATAGGCAAAGAAAGGAAGCAAAACTCAAAGAGATAGCCAATGAAGTTGATAAGTACTTTAATGATGCATATGAAAGTACAAAGAATGATGATTTCGACTTATTAAGGTGGTGGAAAAGTAAAATCTCAAGCTACTCTATTCTTTCCAAGATTGCTAAGGATGTACTTGCTTTTCCTAGTTCGACCGTTGCTAGTGAATATGCATTTAGCCTTGGAGGAAGGATTGTGGATCCGTTTAGAGCTTCTTTGACATCTAGGATGGTCGAGGCCTTAGTTTGCACAAATGATTGGCTTAGAGGAGAGGAATTTCAATTTCACAAGGAGCCTACGGAAGAAGAGCTTGAGTTCTACATGGAACTCGAACAATTGGAACAAAGTAAGTAACTATTTTATTAATATTTATTATTTTGGTATTCGTATTGTTCAAGAAATATTTTTTTGCTTATTGACTTATTTGTAATATTTTATAGGTATTCCCAATACAAATGAAATGCCACCACCTCGATCTAAAAGTGCAAATCCACCCGAGTCCGGAGTTAATAAATTATCATCCCATCCATCTCGAGGGGGAAAAGGGGGAAGGGGTTGTCGATCAAATCGTGGTGGCCGTGGCGGTGGTGCTACATCATCGAGCAAATTAATTGATGAGGTTATTCATTTTTGTAGTTTAATTTTATTATAATTGGTGTTCTTTCTTTTAAAATATAATAATAATATTTTTTTTATATTAATGCATTATCTTTTTCTTATGCAGGAGTAGACGAGTAGTGGAAGAATGCTTTGAGTTGTGATTTATAAAATTTGATTTGAATATGGTGTGATGTGTACTGTGTTGTGTTGAGAATTGTGATTGAATATTTGGTTTTGGAAATGGGAACTTGGAAGTTTGGAACTATTGATAAGTTTGTTATTTTATGATTTGTCTATTCCAGGGGAATTTATTTTGACTCTGATTCATCCACTTTCAATCAAGTGAAATGGCCTTCTGGTACTACAAATTAATGTGATTCATCCACTCTGATTCATCCACTTTATAATTTTATATTGGTGCTCTTTATAGGTCTTGTTTTTTTTT